GATGAGGATGAGGATGGTGGTGGTGGTGGCGGCGGCGGTGAGGACGTTACTGTTCACAATGGTACTAATAAGCAGTAGCAGCAATAATTCACATTTGTTATACCGAAGCGGTCAGAATTTAATACACGGAATCCCTGTTTCCCCACCTCTTAATCCCCTCCCCTTAAAATTGGATTTCGGGTTGGCGACCCCTACGTCCAAACAGAGATTCTGCTGGCGGAGAGTGGGGTTGCCACAAGCACCTCCCCAAATTTGGGCGTTTTTTCTGCGCGAACAGCCTCGCTCGCCCGCCCCCCCTCCCCTCGTCCGGCTCTCCGGGTGAAGTTGGGGGCTGTGTTCTTGTACTGCGTTGCAAAGCTTGACTCCCCTTCCAATACATGGGAGGTTTTGTATACCAGTCCAGCGAGAATTGTGATACGATTGTTATAGTAACGTCTATGGGATAATGCAGGGAATGTGCCATGTTTCGCGTGGGATTAGCGCTCAGAGCCTCAGCATGAAAACAAATACAGACATTCAGCATTATTATGAAGCAAATGCGCTCATTCACTCAAGACCTGGACCTGTGTGATCGACCCGCTGCTTTCCGAAACAATGCACCTGCTTCAAGTACAGCGGGGCCGAGGCGGACGACGCAAATCGTTTCAATCGAAGGTGTTTGCAATGACTGCTTATGGCAATACGAACAAAAAACAGTCTACTACATGTAATACTAAGCTCTAAGCATGATGGCAGATATGTTATCTATCCGGAACATAGATATCAGATACGCCCGCCGCGCACGCCTTGCGCACAAAGTAATCCATGCCGCCATATTTTGATGTAGGAGCAGGAATCTAAAAGTGTTTCCAGACGGTTTGCAAAATAATACAGATACTAGTGAACATGCTGCCTATGCAGAACATACGCAAAAAAATACGCGCGTGTCGAACATACTGTGTGCCTGCATCCCATAGAACAGCGGAGTCCACGCTTGACCGAAAGCTGCTGGAATGCACTCTGGGATCCCAGCTCTGACAGCAAAGCCATCAGCGTGGTGTTCTTGCCGCAAACGAAGATGTGCCTCGCAGCTTGTAGCTGGCTTTTCAAGTCCCTCAGTCTCAGCAACAACCCAGGCAAGAGCAACCTGCGCTTTGCAGAGGGCTTACACAAGGCCCAAAACCTGAGGCCCAAAACCGAGACCATTTCCAGCCGAAACCTTGAAAATTGCCTAAACCGCAAACCCCGAACTTCCCAGAAGTCGGCGGCCTTTCACGGCCGGCCGCACGCAGCGCCTCGAGCAGCTCGCCAACGGTGCAGGTCTCAGTGCCAAGACAAAGGGCGGCCCCAAGAGAGTGCCCAGCGAGTCGGATCTCCGGGTGCTTCCCTGACTTCTTTCCGCATCTCTAGAATCTAGGGTTTCTGGCACGGACAGCTTCCAAATGTCCATCCCACACCTTGTCGATCTGATAGGTTTCTCCCTTCTTTAACAGCTTACATCATCTGGACCGCAATCTCGCACACCGGGACAGCCACATTGAGGCGCAAGCTGATCGGTCCCGAACGTTGTGCACGGGGTCGTCGTGAAGCGGCTCAACCACGCGCAGGCTCAGCAGATCTTTGCAATGAAGAAGGCCAACCACCTTTGAGGAAGGGTCGTGGAAGCCTATGCGCCGAAACCCTCAAGCCGCAAACCCCCATACCCTCAGCCTGCAGTGCTAAAACTCCTTGGCCTCCCCTCTGACCGTTTAGTGCTACACCAGGAACTCCAAACTCCTGCCCATGGCAGACACAAACTCTACATCCCTTCAGCTGTCATAGGTTATAGCTTTGTACCTGAAAAATTGCCGTAAATTCCTGCAGGAGTTGTTTAAAGGCATGGGTTCATAATAAGAATTAAGTAAGCCGATACAACACTACAACCAGGTACTGAGATATCTGGTACAAGTAGTTGTACGTTGGCAAATACTTGCATACAGTAACATACTGCGTTGAGGTATCGTACATGATGCGGTTTAGCATGTGATCGTATGCTGGCATACAATCTTTGCGTTGCTTTGTTATCTTCAAAACTAGAACCACACTCGTGCAGTAGGATACGCCATGACATGTCATGCATTGAGTTCTACTTTCCCGTAAACTTGTGGCTAGTACCAGAAGAGGAAGACGAGAGCAGAAGGCAAGGTAGGAGAGTTCAGCGTCTTGCCTTCAGCTGGAAGAAGCTTTTTTAACTTTTTCAACACATAGTTTCTTTATCCTTCTTCTCACTTACTCCTTTCACCGTTTCGGGCAGAGTCAGAGGTTCCTCCGCAAATCCCGTGCTAGACCATCTGGCTCGGGACCCCTCCGCACCTGCCCAGAAGCAGGGTCCACCACAGGGAAGCGGCTGTAGCCCCGCCTCAGCGTCGCTTCAGCTGCTTCGCCCTGAGGGCCCGGAGGCCTGGTGGGGGACTGTGTTGAAAGCAAGGAAAGCACGGACGCCTTCTATTTAAGCTGGCAACCATTAGCCAGGCATCCGAAAGCATTGAACTACGTATGCCCCACCTGAAACCCACGATCAAGTTTTCCTCCAACATCCACTGGCGGACAAAGAGTTAAGTTGGACCAAGTCTCTGAATCACCCGTGCAATGAATGCAAAGTCGAGAATATCCTGGCAAGAACGATGCTCTCACAGGAGTCGTCAATAAGTCGGGGTGCGCGAATTGCAGGAACAGACCGGCACCAAGGCACGGGTCTTACATTCAGATTACCGAGGGGCTTCGGAGTGTACGAAAACGAGGATTGGAAGCTGGAGAGCAAAATGCCATGTCCACGCCTTCAGAATCAGTAGGAAGCTGTACTTCGATTTACGACACACACACACACACAAACACCAACACACAAAACCCGCTGGCTTTCCAACAGCTTCCGGGCTTCTTTCTGGGCTGCTTCGAGCTTTGGGTTTGACAGTTTAAGACGCATTCTACGACCGATAAAGCTCGGTCACCGTTCGAATTGTTGTCATACTGGCAGACCGCTGGCGTTAATCTGCTTTTCTGACAGTTCTTTGGTATCTCACGAGTTGTTGGCCTCTCTGGCTGCAACAACGACACCAGCAGCATATTCTTTATAGACCGCGTGGCACACCTGCCTAGGCCTAGCCCAGCACCCACTTGCCATGCTCCTCAAGCATCAAGCAGCAGGCACTCTGCAGCGGAACCATCACCTGCCCGAAGCGCAGATGTTGGTTGCAAGAAGACGTGGGCGGGAATAGTTGGTCGGACGGACATGGGATGCTGTTTCCGAGTAGATTCCGCCAGCCTCTGAGACAGTCTTCTTGGTCATGCCCAGGGCACCTGCCGCGAGGGGAGATCGAGCTTGGACTTGCGGATTTGGATCACCCCACCCTTCGTGTTTGTACTGAAATTACAACGCCTTTCGTCTTCTTCTTACCGTTACCTACTACATCTATGCACTCACGGTAAGAAAGCAGCCCTTAATTCGAGTTTGGGGCTGCCTGGCCTATGAGCATCTCAGCTTGCCCCTCGACGAGCATACCTGGGGCAGCCGACTTTTGGTACCTGACAGAAGAGAGCACGCAGAAGAGTCATGCTCAGATCCCAGGTCCTTATGAGATGCTACAGCATGATCTAATACAGAACAATATCATACAGTACAATATCAGTTCATGTAATATAGTGCAATGAAGTATAATGAGAAATGTACTATAATATGGTGAAATACAATACAGCATATTGTAATAGTACATAAGGTAATATAACATAACCGAATGTAACCTATTAAAGAACAACATAATATAATACAACATAATATCATAACAAAAACAATACAAGAAAGCTCAACAGAACATAACATAATATCATACAACATAATATAGTAGAAACTATAACATAACATCATATAAAATGGTCTAACATGGTATAGCATAACCTAGTCTATGGTAGAACGGTAAAACCTGCCGCCAGGGCGCTCCACCAGTGCCTGAAGCTGACTTCGGTCCAACAGGTTCTCCTCGGCTCCACGAGGTGGTTTGGAGTTTAGAGTTGCCTTTGGCGTTCAAGCGGTGCAGATGATGCTTATCGCAGTTGCCTTCGATTGGTGTTTGTTTGAGCACCTGTCCAGATAGCATCTAGCAAGCTTCGACTCGGCCACCGGCCCAAATCGAAAAATCCGAAGTCAGAGTCGACACACTTCCGCAAGTGCGAAGTCACGCATAGACTGAACCTACAAGCAGCAGCAGCAGCAGCAGCCAGGCCTCGGAGGAAGCAAAGGCAGCAGAGTGACCCCCTGTACGTCAAGGCACTCGCTGTGGGAAGAGGTGATCCAGGACAATCGCATACCTTCGGGAGCCACGGTCAAGAATTGGTCATGTAGAAGCCCATTGAATCAGTCGAAGACTCCAAGGCTCTCTGGCGGCCGGCGTGGCACAGAAGCTTCTCTTCCAAAAGTCAGCTGAGGCATGTGTGATCCCCACATGTTTCAATTCACACCTCTCGAAGGACGTGTTGTATCCTGAACGGAAAACCAGGATCGAGCGAAAACGCCGTTGGAGAGATTTGAAGAGGCAGAGCCTTGTCCCTCCAACCGCGAGTGCCTCGCTATGGCAGCCACACTATTTTCAACCACGATTGACGTCGCAATGTGATGCCTCATACAACACTTGTAAGCCCTCGATATTCAAATGCTCCAGCTGGGAAGACCAACGAACAAAACAACAAACAAACGCAAGCAAGCGACGAGCGGGCAGCCAGCAAACAAACAAACAAACAAACAAACAAACAAACAAACACACACACACACGCACAACAAAAATAAAAAAAAAAAACAAATTTCAAACAAAAACGACCGACCCACCGACCGACCAACCAACTAACCACTGGCGCAAGCGCGCATTATTTCATGCGAGACTTGCTGCCGAGCCACGGCTTCGTTATCGGGTAGAAGAGCACCATGGCTAGTTTGATGATCGGGGATCCGGCTGCCCCGAGGAAGAGGCCGTGCCGCGTACACACGGACTGCGGGACCTCGCTCTTCAAAATTCAGAGGTGCCCTTTCCCCACCCTTTCAAACCATGATTTTGCCGGAAAGCTTCGTTCGAATTGTGCCACTACTTCTAGATTTGGTGCTGGGTAGTCTTCCGGTCGATGCGGGAAGAGACAACTCACTCAAATATGTGTCAGAACCCATCACTTGAACCCTCCAGAGGGTCTTGCACGAACAGGGTGATAAGTCTCGTACGATCTCGCACAAGATAACGATAATGGCCGTGGTCAGCAGGAAACCGATGAAGCCGCCTGATGGCCAAGGGTTCATACAGGATGTTCAGCTGTGGAAACGTATGGAAGATCTTGTTCGGCATTTGGCAAATTTGTCGGACTTCGGCGAAAGGGGCAGAATCAGAGAGCTGATTGGTGCAGGCCAGTTCGGCGAAGATCAGAACCTTGAGCCTCGAGTAGAGGCGCCCCATGACCTAGAAGATCCTAAAGTATTCCGAAACCCCTGAGCATTAAGCATGGGCTGCACATCCGCTGATCCCCAAAACTGCCCTAAAGCCATCGCCAAGAGTTCCGCGCAGAGAATCCATAGGCCTGCATAGTCTGCCAACCTTGGCTTCTCAGGGCCTTGCGTTGTGACCTTCTCTGGCCCACGGAACTAATGCAAATACTTTGACTAATACTAGGTTCTCATACTAGTATAAAGGCTGGTCGAAGGAATGTTTGCTCAGGGGTTCATGCTGCAGACGACTTTCTGCGCATGTATGGTATAGTCTTGTCTAGAATAGCCTTAGCAGTAGTATTTCGCATTCATATTCGTATTCGCATCAGCAATAGCATTGGCATTGGAATTTGTTTTGGTGCTGGTCATGGTACTGGTACTAGTTTTCGTATAGTATGAGAATGGTAATGATATAACAAAGAGTAGTCCAGTGTGGTACAGTATAGTACAGCATGGTACAGTGCAGTATGGCAAAATGCAGTATAGCATAGTATGGCAAAGTAGATTGCTGTATAATGAAGTAGTAGTATTCGTCTTAGCCTTAGTCTTAGTTTCAGTTTTAGTATTAGTAACCGTTAACCCTAGTGTTAGCATTGGTATTAAAATGAAAGATAAACGATAGTACTGCGACAAATATTCGCATTAATATAAGTGTATTCGCATAAGTATGAGAATTAGCACTGGTAGTAGTCTTAGTAAGACTGTTAATGTAAACATGAAAATTAGTATGTATATATGGGTATGAATACACCTAGTACTAGTATTAGTTCCAGTATCAGTATCAGCAAGAGTATTAGTATTGAACCTTAATAGAAGCATGAACATTAATGCTAGTATTTGTAGTAGATTGCATATCACTACTAGTATGAGTATTAGTATTGATATTTTTCTTGATATCAGTATTGGTATTATTAATCTTATTAGTATCGCGTCATCGGTATCGGCGTTGGAATTGGTATTGGTATTGGTATCGGTTTTCAAATATTAGTAGTACGCTCAGTACGAGTATCAGTATTCGTCTTCGCCTCCGCATTCCTACTAGTATTCGCCTCGTATAACAACAACACACAGCATAGCATCGCATAGCCTGGAGCAGCACAGCATAGTACAGCATAGCAAGGTATGGATAGCATAGCACAGCACATAGCACAGCACATAGCATAGCATAGCATAGCATAAGAAATACAGCATTGTCCCCCCCCCCTTTCGTGTCAGGATGCAGCTGTGCCATCAAGGCGTTGACTGCGGTGTTGCCGAGGAGAATGGTGCAAAGCAGTAGATTCCTTGGCTGCTGGAGGCTTGGCTTAAGGTGAAGGTTTGTGAAGGTTTGGGAATCCGAAGAAGATCCGAAGAAGACTGCTGGAACTCTCGGTACAGATAGCAATGCCTTCTCGAACCTTGCAGCAGGGATGACACATATTATTGTGAGACGATTGTCCTATAGAATCCTACTGACTGCCTGTAGATAGACAGATTGATAGGCACATCAGATAGATGGATATGTACTATCATCGCGCTTCTTTGTTGCTGGCCGAGAGGCCCCTTCCGGCGCAGTGGCAGGATCTTTCCTTGGGTCGGTGGAGACGGGGGCCGGGTCTTTGGTCGTGGACCCCTGCATTGCTCTATGATCTTTGCAGTATTGTAGTGAGTTCTGCATGACAGTTCTTCTGCTTCTGCATGCAGTCGCACCATCTGGTACAGCTCCACATGCATGTGCGTTCGTTCCAGGACTTGACCATCGCACTTTCGGTTTGCATCTCACAACTTCCACCAGTCCTTTATTGCAGACGCCTCTGCAAGCATAGGTATGCCATGTGGAGCTTGACCGGGTCACGCAGCAGAACATCATGGCACACCAGAGTCTCCGCAACATGCCATTGCTTTTGGATACTGAGCTGCTAGTTTGCAGCATCAAACAGCCCCTTGGTCAGCGATGCGTCAGGAGCAGCGGGATGCACCGAGAATGACACGAAGGAATTAGCGAGACCACTGTTGTTCTCAAAAGGAAGCCTCCGACTGAAAACCATGTTAAGTGCCGGGTGTCGGGCATATCTGGCAGAGTCCATGGCAGTCTCATCTTTATTGGGCACGTCTATGAGAACCTAGGTTCCACGTTCCAGAATCACTGCATCTGTGTCGCGACCACGAACTCTGTGACAGCCCAGCTGGTCGCAGACTCTACTACTGCCAAGCTCATGAGACTGAAAACCGAACATCTCTTGGTACTTAAACGAGAACCTCGCCCCCGGGAGAATCAGAACGATCCTTGGGGAGGTCGTGACACTACGAAATAGTGATCGGACAAGCGACCTGTAACTGTGCAGTGTCCAGCGACATGAGCCCGATGTTGAGACCTGGCATTGCTGCACAGGAACGTGGTGAGGATGGTCGCCAGGAATGGGGTACTGGGTTGCAATAATTTCTGCCACAGTTGCGAACGACAATAATCTTGTTAAATCACACTCCCATAGTCGACTTAGCAGACGGGAGGAGAAGGGTGCTTTCCACCGGCCAATTTTGTTTCCCGACTCGTCACTCTGAGCTCAGCCTTTGCAGCACTCCGCCACTCTCATTCGTCGTAGTCGCAGCAGAGCAGCTGTAGCAGCAGCAGGAGTTGTAGTGATAGTGATAGTAGTAGTCGTCGTCTTCTAGTAGTAGTAGCAGTAGTAGCAGTAGTAGTAGTAAGTAGTAGTAGCAGTAGTAGTAGTAGTAGTAGTAGTAGTAGTAGTAGTAGCAGTAGCAGCGGTAGCAACAGCAGTATTTCCAGCAGCAGCAGTAGTGGCATCAGCACTAGCAGAAACAACCCTCGGGTCTTGAAACCCGAAGTCTGCCGAGCCTGTGAAGGTCTGGGAGAGGAAAGTCAGCACGAGAATGCTCAGCACCGTGAGAAGCAGCTTGAACTGAGCCTCGTCTCGCTTTTGATGAACTGAGTTAATCCGACGTTGTCTTATCCACTTCTCAACTCTCATGTCCTCCAGCGGTAGGCTACTCATAGCTCCCCAAATGCTTGAAATTCAGGTGTGGGATGTAAGATGTATATGTACGTGCACATACCAAGTTTATTCTTTGTTTTCATGATATATGAATGTATACATATATGCAGTGTCTGTATGCTCGCCTATCGATGCATGTGTGAATGCTTGAATGCATGACTGCTTTCTTATGTGTGGGTGTGTGTACGTATGTGCAGTCGGAAACATCCGGTCAACAACCACCCAACCGCCCCGCAAGCTCTGAGCCAAAGAGCTGCTTCTGCATCGCTGTCATCCGTCGAGGGCGCTGCAGTGCTGTCCATCGACTCCGAGGCTAACAGCTCTTGGCACTACCTCCGAGCTTCTGAGAGCTCCTTAGGCCTTGGACTAAGGGTTTAGGGATCTTTAGGGCTTTAGGACCAGCTGCCCCGGCCTCTTCCAGGGAAGGCCCCAAGCACCTTCTTCGAGGTTTGAACAACCACACCCTTTTCTGATTGGAGGCTTAGGGTTTAGAGGTGTCGTTTGCTTTGGGCTGATGAGCCTTCTCTCAGCTTCTGGGGCAGCCGGGAGGTGGCTCCGGAGCGACGGCGAAGTCTGCACCGGGCTTGAGAATCTAAGGTTTCGGGGTTTTGAATGGAGGATTAGAGGCTTTGGGTTCATGCGCTGAGCGGCAAGCTCATGTTCTGAACCTTGTTGGGGTGCTCCATCTTCGGAATTTCGTTGTCGAACTACTCTTGAGCTGAGGCAGCGATTCACCCCGGGCGGCTTCCTAAAATCCAGAATGTCACAAGATTCGGAGTGAAAGTGTTGTAACCGAACTCAACGACATAACGGGCTACTGTCACAAGGGCCATAGCCGAACTTTTCCGCGCTCGTCAGTGGGCTCCTCCGTCCGGCGAAAGGCTTGCAGCCTCAGGCACTTCAGGGATGCAGGGTTGGCGTGGGCAGATAAGACATCACGACGGCTGAACCTTGTTGACATATGCACTGCCGAGGAGGCCAACCTGGTGCCTTTCAGATCGATTACTGAATCGAAACGGGCGGCCATGCAATTCACATGACAAAAGAAGGATGAAACTCCTTTACGAAGACAGCCAAAAAGCTCTCGTTGCTCGTCGCTGAGATCGCGGTTTCGGCTCTTGGGGTGTCAGCATCGGTCGCCCGAAGCACTTCCAAGCACTCTTGTCTACTTGTCTGCGAAAGCAGATGGGAGCAGCTGCCGAAGAAACCCTCGTCAGGTGCCCTGCTATCACATGGACGGAAGTGGCTCTGCCGGGCTAGATGAATCTGTCGAGGAAGAGACGAGTCCAGGTTCGGAAGGGGACAACAGAAACCCCTGGGACGAGTCACCAAGGTGAAGGATTCCAGGCTTCCAGGATGCAATGCTTTGCATTCTCTAAGCTTGCTGTGAGCCTCCCTGCGGAGTTCTCGCCAGCTTTCCGACTGCTCGCATCAGCTCGCGAAGTTTCCCTTCTTGCAGTACTCCTCTGCTGGACTGCCACCCATGAACCCCTTTGGACCCTTTGGGAGGCCTGCTGAAATCTGCCGCACGCGTCTTCGATGTCTTGGTTAAGATCCCCGCTGAATCTTTTTAAGCTCACAGTCCAGGTTGCGTTGCGTCTTTTCTTAGCAGCTCGAGTGATCCTCCACTGCAACGGGAGCCAGCCGAATTGCCACGACGTCGGGTGCAAGCGAATTTGGCAAGTTCGAAACGATGTGCTTACCTGCACAGGCAAGTCAATGTCAAAACGGGGCGGGAATCCATCTCTGCTGTCAAGAGCTCAGATGGCTTGCAGAGCATGCAAAACTCGAAGCTTCTCTCAAGCATCGGCTTGCGTTGCTTGTGCCGCTGAACACCATCGGCACGTTATCAACTGGGAACAATCACATCCTGGCTGGCGCGGAAACGGACGCAGTCGTCCAGGTCTGCATAAATCACATTCAGCGGAGGGCAACGACACCTGGAGAACGTTTAGAAGGTGACGTAACATTCCAACTCAACAGCCAAGGCCAGCCACGGCGCTACACCAATGTCTTCAAAAAGGTTGCTCACAACAGCTCGTGGAATCCAGGAAAACCTGGGGCTTTACGGCGACGGCGGAGGCTTCGAACTGGAGCTCCACCCCGAAGCCAAACTCAAGAAAAAAAATAAGAACTCTTTAACAAGGAGAGTCGTCCGACATCTGAAAGCTCGACATCGGAGGAATGCTAGACAGGCAGCAGATTAAACAATGGGCTCTTGGCACTTTGGAGCGCAGAATGCTGCTTGAGCCTGCTCTCTCCCCTTCAAAGCACTGATCGGCAGTTGCAAATACCAAAACTGGGATTCGTGCCGAAGCTGAACCTCGAATATCCAAGGCACGAACGGGGCCACGATTCCACATGATTCCGCAAACTCCCACCGTGGCAGCGGCTGCCTGGAGGCTTCGGCCACGGAAGGCTTGATCCGAGGATCGCGACAAAGAGTTCTCAAATCTCAAGAAACACAGACCCGCCAGCCCTATGGGGTCTGGAAATGCAGAGGGATGCCATGAAAAGGATCACTGATTACTGCTGTGGATACTCAACCTGATGAGTAGCAGCCTGGATGCGAAATGCAAACCCGCCGTTGGTCATGGTAGCCAAGAATACTGCTATGTGAAGAAGGATTTTCATTGCATAGTAGTTTTCCCGCAATACAAGTAAACTGAGAAGCGTGCAAGCATCAATTTATCTCAGGAGCTCCCTGCACTCCAAGATCCAAGAAATAATACCAAAACTCTCCGGCCCCAACCCCCATATCATGCTAGCCCCACTCAACACTTGGCACACAGCCTCAGACTCAAAGGTTGAGGTACA